AATGATTAGAATCCTTTGTTTAAATCCTATTATGGTGAATTATTAATACATCATTACGTGGTTTCCTTATGCCTGACCTATTTCTATAGTGCGTTGTGACTCTACCATGAGTCATTTTGTTGGAACCATGTTGTCATTTAAGACTGAGAGGCACACGCCTGACATCAATTAGACTTTTTTATTGTGTGCTGTCAAACAGCAATTGCCATCAACTTCCCAATCCCCTCCATCTAAAAATACTTCAATAAATGAAATAAAATATTCCTAAATATTCCCCAGATAGATCCCCAAATTACACCAAATGGGTGATAGAATCCAAGTTGTTTACACTATCTTGATTACCGTACTTTGTTTAAAGCTTTTTTTTTACTTATTAAATTCATATGACCGATAACAAGTAGTTGCTTACTTTTCCTGCAGCAACTTAAACAGCAAGCATTTATAGGAAATGTGAATTCTGATTTAATGTGATTAGGCTGTCCAATAGGATAAATCATAAAGGGATTTTACTTTTCTTAGTTTTTAGCTTGCCAGATATAGCTACCAAATAGGCACTTTACGACTCACTGGCTTAGATTTATCACATCCTAAAAATCGAAATTTTGTAAAGGCTAGATTATTGTTCAAGTCACTTTCAGTGTGATATCTGCCTCCCTCTCTGATAATTCTAAAGACACATTAACTCAACTATCTGATGAAATTGTCCATTATGTACCTTTTTTTAAAATGCCACATTTTTAATGTTAATTATCTTAAAGCATAATACTATTATAATAATTTCCATTCCACTGTCTTTTAAAAAAAGATATTTATTTCTTTGAGAGAGACAGAGATAGTGAGAGAGAGCATGAGCGGGAAGGAGGGGGAGAAGCAGTCTCCCTGCTGAGCAGGGAGTCCTTTTGCGGACTCCATCCCATAACCCTGGGATCACGACCTGAGCCAAAGGCAGATGCTTAACTGACTGAGCCACCCAGGCACCCCCCATATCACTGTCTTAAAAAAGTATGCACGTGATAAAAAAAAAACAGCAGTACAGAAGAGTACCAACTGAAAATTTTCCATCTGTATTAGTCTGCTTGGGCTACCGTAACAAAATACCACATTGGTGGCCCAAATAACAGAAATTTACTTTCTCAAAATTCTGAATCTAGAAGTCCAAGATTCAAGTGCCTGCAGATTTAGTTTCTGGTGTGGGCTCTCTTCAATGGCCACTCTCTGGCTGTGGACCTTTGTGAGTTTTTGTGACCTTTTCTCTGTGAGTGCATGAGAATGAAAGAGATCTCTGGTGGCTCTTTTTCTCATAAGGACTCAGTCCCACCCTTATGACCTCATTTAATCTTAATTATCTCCATAAAGGCTGGGCATCCAAATACAGGCACACTGGGGGTTAGGACGGTAGACACAATTCGGTGTGTAACACCACTCAATCCCTAGTCTCAATCTCCAGATTGGTCAATTTTTTGTTTTAATTCTTCTGGTGGTTATTTTCATAATTCTGTTACATACTGAAGTACATTTTTTTGGGGTATAGATATTTAGACAATATAACTTTTAGCTGACTATAATAAAGAATAAGAAATCAGTTGACAGTGTTATCTGCTAACTCCCAGCTTTAAAAAAATTTTTGCTAGTATTAATTTTAACTTTTTCAATTGGTTGACTTTATAACCTTTGAAAACAGACCTTTATTTCTTTTTAAAAAAAAAAAAAGATTTATTTATTTATTTTAGAGAAAGAGAGAGAGAGAGCATGCACAGAGGGAGAGGGAGAGAGAAATGTCCTGTTTGTTCAATTTGGTCTTTTTTGGTGTGCTATTGACATGCAGTTCATTTTCCTCAAATGTCTGGTAATTCTGCTGGTTCACTTATATTTTTGAATGAAAGATAAGGATGGTTAATGTCAGGTTAATGGTGTATATATATTTTCCCCAAGATGCCTTTCCCTGACCGGGGGGCTGATGGTGATGCCTGGGTCAATGTCCAGGCTTCGTTTTATGATGTGAAGGTAGAAGTAGGCAAGTGGGCTGGGTCTGCCCCTGCCCCAGACCAGGAGTTTGGCCCCATCTACACTGATCACTCATTTCCTTTAAGATCACTTTCTTGATTTCAGCCTGGGGCAGACACTGAACTTGTCAGTTGTTCTAACTGATGTAGTGAGAGGTGATGGGGGGCCACATGAGACAGATTTGCAACTCATTACTCTAGTTAGCCCCTCAGTCCTGTGACTTTCAGGCTCTGGGACCCTGCAGGGAAGAATACATCCCTCCACAGCTGCGGCCTCATCCAGTCACTGTGTTCTGGCCGCTGCCTTCTCCACTCTGTTATCCATCAGCTCCAGGCCACAGACTCTCCATCTTTCAGAAAGCCACGAGACTGCGGTCTGTTGTTGGTGTCACTCCTCCTGTTCGCAGTATGGCTTTGGCTCGGTCCCATTTTATACTCTTTCACTGTCAATTTCAGTGAAATTTGAAAGAAGAAGGTTGGTGGGTGCCAGGACTCAGTTCATCCCTCTGAGCTGGAACTTTTCTATCTTTTAAAACAGAATGCATTACAATCCGGTTTTTCTTGTCCCCTTAGTATTCAGGGTAAAAAATCACTCTGTTGTGTTACAATACATTCCCTCCAAAGGCTGCAAGCGGTTAAAAGTATTTCTTCTCAAACTGTTATTGTTTTGAGTTCTTGTGATTATAGTTTTCATTTTTTGCCCTCACTTTTGCCTTATTGCCACTCTCACGGTGCTGCTCTGAATTACACTCTTTTCTTCTAATTGGCTACTTCTGATATAAAGTAGATTATCCATAAGGCAAGAATCAGTAAACTTTGAGGGTGTTTTGAGAGACATTCCTTTGGGCAACCTGTATAAACTTTAGGGCATGAATTTTTGTGATATCTATTATGATTGGCTTAAGGCCCTTTATCCTTAATGATTTGGGTCTATCTTCAGATAATTGAAAGCTGCTAGATAAATTTAACTCTGACCAAGTATTATAGATTTATCATCTTCATTAGACCACTATTTAAATTCCTAATGTCAATACTAATCATATTTTTTCTCTTAGCCATCACTACCTGTCAATGGATCATAATTCAACTAATCATGAGTAGGTTTTTCACATAAAGACCATTTATAATCAAGATACAATTTTATACTTGTTATCGATAGTCAACAATTTATTTACTAATATGAATTCAGTAGCAAATTTGCCAATTGTTTTTTTCCTGTCTTGAGTTGTAACACAGATAATGGTGACCCTAAAAGAAGCTCACAAATTAGAAAAGCATCACTATCAGACTCAGCACAATCATTTCATAGGAAGAAAATTTATTTCATGTTTGAATGCAAATTTTAGTAATAATTGTGTTGAAGTTACTTTTCTGAATGCAAATTTTAGTAGTAATTGTGTTGAAGTTACTTTTCTAGGATTGTTTCCAAAGTGTTATTTCAACTACTCAAGATAAAACACATTATTTATCAGGATGTACTATTTCAAAATGTCACAGGTGAGAAACACATATCAAAAGGTAACACAACTGTTTAGTTTCATTAGTTACAAGTGAACTAGTGGATAAGTCATGATTTCAACTGTGTATAATATTTCTTTTTTTTTTAACTGTGTATGATATTTCTATGAAGATGTCCAAGTCTCAGTGATAATCAGAAATGGGTATTGCTATGGGGATATCCTAGGGGAGTAAGGGGGACCATCTCTGGGGGCCCATTGGGCCCACTAACCCTACTCCACAGACTTAACACAACAAAAGCTTTGAATTCCTTGGTGTGCTTCATGAGCACTGAGAAGCAAATGCCATCTCTGTTTGGGATGAAATTAAGGGGCTGTTTTGACAGAAAATCTGAAGAGTACATCTATGGATAAAGATTGATCCTAACCATTTTAAGTAAGGGAGTACTGTTGGGGAATAGAAATTATGTCCAATGATCAACAGGTTGGAAAGAGCTAGCAGTTTCAGAGAGAAGAAACTTCTCTTGATAGCTTTAGTACCTACTGTGGGTTGGAAACAAATCAGTAAAGAAACCAATCCCTGAAGACAAGTTAAATGTTTTCAAGTGAATCTTCACAGTGAAGTAGTAACTGTAGTAACTCTGAATAACCAAAATTTGCAAAACCACATTTTATTCTATTCTATTATATGAATACCAATCTCTTTTTGGCCTGATAATTGTAGCTGTGTAGATCTAGTAATTCAATGAGTGATTCAGATCCAGCCCAGTATGGTTGAGACATCATAACCAAAAAGTAAACAAAGAAGAAATTTCCTGGGTCATATGTCTAGGCTCCAAAGAGAAAAAGATGGTGGTCCTACAAGATAGGAAAAACAGATCCTTCTTTCTTTGTGCTTTTCTTTTTGGTCATGGAAACATGTTTTAAGGGAAAGGGATATACATGGAGTTTTAAAACTGGAAGAGGCCATCAAGCTCTTTCATTTCTAGATTTAGAAGTGGCCCCGTGATTTGCCAAGGGCCAACAGTTACCTTGTGTCCAGCCTGCTTTATTAATCAATGGGTGATTTAGTGTGCTCTGCTCATAATTCCCACTTGCTGCTACTTAGAAATAGTTCTAGAGTTCATGTCTTTTCTGCTATGAGACCAGCCAAGAAGAACAATTCTTAGTTTGCTCAGCCACATAAGCTGAAATCTTGCCAGTTTTTTTTTTTTTTTTCCGGGCAACACATAATAGTTGGGTCACATCAGGTAGATCCTTGTGAAGAGATGATTAATAGTTTCAGAGTCTGAAAAAAACAACTCAAAGCTAAGCCTTTCCCCTCCTTCACCTCATAATAGCTGCTTCATGCATGTATCCTGTTGGACTTTTCAGTTTTGAGGAATTCACATTGTCTTTGGTTGTATCCAGGAACATGAAGGGGGACCAAGCCAACATGGGGCTAATTTTATATTGTGGTCACCAACTAAGTTAATAGCATTTGCCATTTGCTGAATCTTTATAGTATGAAATGCTATCTATAAGTGAGAAGCTCAGCGTTGATCTGGTTCAGTTGATCTCTGTTGCGCATCTTACACAATGGCACTGCGGTTAGCATCAAGCAAGTTTTCTAGAAAGTGTCAGTTATTTTGATATCACCTGGGATTCAGATGTGCTGGTAGCCTCTCTTCCTTCTGGGAGGTAATGATTAAGTGGTAATGCTATCCCCTCTCCAGAGATGAACTTTTGCCCCATGAGACATCACCTGCACAAGGGTTAGGTCAGCTGTCTTGTGTATATAATGGGTTTGGAATACGTGTTCAAGAAACCAGCATTTTAGAAGTCCCCCTACCACTGTGAGTAGTGTAGGGTCAGCTTACAAAACTGTTTGGTTATACTCTTTTGGGATTTGGCCCTGCTTATTTGGGGTTAGGTGGGAGTTTTCAAGCAGTTCATAGTCATCCTGCATGTTGGGGAGACTTTGCCTCATGTCCCGGGTAACCTTTTGGACCTGAATGCCAGTGCTGTTCTTTGGAGAAACCCTCTGGCCCCGGTATGCCTGGGCCTGACGTTTACAGATGCCAAACTTGCTAAGCAGGATAAATACATCCCTCTGAAAGGCCTTCGTGAAAATAGCATAGAGAAATGGATTGGCACAGGAGTTAAGTGGATAGAAGAGAACCAGCAAGATTTTGGAGTTGGTAACGGTGATGAGAGGCTTGTTCATCAGTGCTGACAAAGCATAGAATGAGATTGGGGCCATGCACATGAAGTCAGTGAAGATCAACACAGCCATCCTTTTGGCAATTTTGGTGTCTTTGTCCCCTGGGTTGTACTGGGGATTTCGGACTGTGATGTAGATCTTCACATAACAGGAGCAGACGATGATAAAGGCAACTATGTTGAGCAACAGAACAAGGATAATATATGCCAGGGCAAGAGGTGTCTCAGTGTCCATGGGCAGGCAGATGCTGACCTTGGCATAGCTGCTTATTCCCACCAAAGGGAGCAGGGCGAGCAGGAAGCAGCAAACCCAGCCCCCAACCATGATGGCACATGCATGCCTGAGGCGGATTTTCCGGTCCAGGCGCATGGCGAAGGTAATGGCGTACCAGCGCTCCAGGGTGATGACTGTCAGTGTATACACTGACAATTCACTGGCAAAGACAGTGAAGAAACCAGCTGTGTTACACCCAGGGCCTGTCTGCCAGTCGATGGCATGGTTGTAGTACTCAGAATGAGTGTAGAGGTCTACGGAGGCGATGAGGAGCAGATACATCCCCATGCAGAAATCTGCAAAGGCCAAGTTGCATATGAGAAAGCGTGGGACAGTGAGTTTGTAGTGGCTGGTGAGGAGGATGATCAGGACAAAGACATTGCCCAGGAGAGCCAGCAGACTAACAAACCACACCACGATTCTCAGGAACTTGTAGCCCATTATGTCTTCACAGGGGTTGAACTCATCTGACTTGGGAGTACACACCATGTCTTCATTGCCCCCACACACAGTGTAGTCATAATGGCTATCAAAGGCCTGTAGGGTCTCTTCCTGTGGGTTTTTTAGCTCCTGGCCAAAACCGAGGATCTCATCTTCTTGTTCTTCAAAGAAGACATAATAATGAGAGTTGCTGTGGGTATCCTGGAACTTGGAGTTGTCCTTGTACCCAGCATGGCTGTCACCCAGATACTCCTCGTACTCCTGGTCAAAGGGGCCATTCAAAGCATTCACAGATTTTCTCTGACGCAGGCTCCGAATACTGCTCTCATTACACATTAAGGACTCAAGGATTCTGCAAGGCAACAGAAATAAGTCACTGCTTCCTGAAAACCCCTAACGGTTCCCATAACACTCAGCAAAGTATATGGAATACTTACTATGATCTACATGATTTGACAAGATTTTACATGATCTAGTCAGGCCTTTTCTCCTACATCATTTCCTATACCACCCCACCCCACTCAAGTGTCCTTTTCTCAGAAAGCCTTCCCTCATCTCCCTAAATAAATTGTCCTACTTTATGTTTATTTCTTTTATAGTAATATATGATATCTTCTTATTTGCTTGCTTATTTTCTGACTTCCTCTACTAGAATGTAAACAAAGTGCAAGAGGGCTCTTGTCCAACCTATTCATTGCTATGGGATAGGACAGTGCCAAGCACATAGTAGGTGCTCAGTAAATATTTATCGAACAAATAAATGGATGCTATCATGCAGGCATACTCATGGAAGTGAGATTTAGTTTTTCACTAGCCCACCATACTGAGATCACAAAGGATTTTTTGTTGATTTATCTGTTGTGCTCTGGTTAAAATGCCCAGTGGACTGCCTATTCCAACCTGTTTGGGGGTTAATGAGAAATCTGGGCCCTGCCCTTGAAGGCCACTCTAGCTTCCCACCCATCCCTTTCCTAGCCAGGGCCACATGGCGTCAGTATCAAGCCTGCTATCACCACCCCCGTACCCGATGTCTGGCTTTTGGCAGGTGTTAGGCCCATACTGGTCTTTGCACAGCCATTCAACTTTCCCTTTTGCTTCTGCCCCACAACTAGATTTCAGTTTGTTTCTGACTGCAAATATGAGTCAGAAAGTCAGCCAGTAGATATTGCATAGACACTGAGAAGAAGTGAATAAATGAGAAATGAAGGTGGTGTTAGGACAATGATACACGAGACACAAGGGGGGAATAAAGCAGAGTAAAAGTGTAGGTGAAGACAAGATGCAGAGAAAGCATGGAGAGAAGAAGGCTGTCCCTCCTTTGCAGCTTGCAAGGATAATAAAATAATTCACAACATAGCTGATATTTATTGAGAATTTAAAATATTCCAGGTCATGGCAATAGGTGTTTTCTATTCAGTTTCTCATTTAATCTTCTCAAAACCTCTGTGAATGATAACATTACAATCTCCATTCACAGAGGCTCAGGGAAGTTAAGTAAGTAGGCTGGAATATCACAACTAGAAAGCGGCAGACCTCGGGTACAAAGCCAGCTGAGTCCAAAGCCCACACACAGGTAACCAGTAAGCTGTGACATTTGCAAAGTCTTAATTGCTTGTGTTGCTAAATTTGTCCTCATAGTTGTGTCATCTAATATGTGTTGCAGAACCTAATATGTATTGAATCTGGAGACTAGGAATCATGTAGTATAATCTCTACAAGATTCTACACGACCCCCATACCTCCCTGCTGTGATCCAGTGACATTGGTCTTCTCATCTGCAGTCACTTTGAGTCTGCAGGGGCATTGTGTCCTATGGAGTTCATGTTTCTTATGGATGCTTCAATTCTTTCCACCTGGCTTTCAAATCACAAACCTTCCCCAAACCCAGAAATTACTTCAACTTCCACCAACACCTCTTGTCGCTTATTCCAGACACCTGCCATTTACCCTCTGATTTTCTTCTGATTCTTAAAAGCACAGCAGTGGCTCGGATAAGAAAGGTCAGCCCGTGTGAGGTGAAGGAAACTCAAGGAAAGTGGAAGCTTCTTTAGAGTCCACGTGTTTCTTGCTATCAATTCCTTCAGGTGCTCTAGGCCTTTGGATGGCAGGGCAGCGACGCTGGTGTAAGAGACGTCCCTGGGAAGGAGAGAACACAGAGCTGGTGAGCAGCTAGAGCCTTCTACTTCTTGACCAGAAGGTCAAGCAGGCCTGAGATTAATAGGGGCTTGCTCCTTTCTGCTCTTGAACATAGACTCAGTGCTTTAGATACTGCCACTGGTCTAAGGAGGGATATTTGGCTTCTCAGTTGATATGTTACCAGGGACTCCCCATTTTTATTACTTAGAATTCCAGTATGCATCGATACAAATAACAGTTAGCAGACATTTTATTTTATTCATTGCAATAAATGCAAATTCTTAGAATCAGAGACAGATATCAGTTTTACTCCAGAAAATTATACCATATAACTACTAAAGGGTCTCCAGAGGCAAGAGAAATATATTTGAACAGGCTTAAAGGGGCCTGAATTGCTCTCAGTCTCTTTGGGGACTAGGGATTTGGGATTAATAAGCTGTTCACTGATATGGACCAAAACTGGTATCATGGAACTCTTCTAATGATGCAGAATTTGGGACTCATACCAGTTACATGGTGAATTCATGACTGAGAACAAACTCCCAGAGTTTCTTTAGAAGGCTATAAATGTATTTCATGGAAAGAAAATGCCAGTATTTATATTAATAATTTAAGATTATTTAGATTAATAACCTGAGAAGTGAGATTCAAGGTACTTCCAAAAACAATGGAGAGGGTGGTAAAGCTGGGGACATAGACATTAGTGTTAGTTACTAAGGTAGAATTAATTCACATTGCAGTGTGACATTTCCTGTTCTTTTCTCAGTCCCAGGGAGTCCAGGTTATTATATGTCTTGCTCCATCATTTTTACTTGCATTGAATAATAGCTTGAATAAAACCATGAATATTTAACCTAATATCTCTCATTTTATATTTTATAAATTAAAATATTCACTAAATAT